GGGGCGGGTCAGTTATAATTTATCATGATGGAGCTGAACTCTTATCATTATGCTGGGAATAGTGTCTGTCGTCTTCATCTGCACGTCAATGGCCTGTATTCCACTTTCTCAGAGAAGGCTTTCTAGTCTTCACCGGCTGACCTCTATAATATGCGACTTGTGTATTGAACTGAGCTGTGGTTCGCCTCGGTGTAAAGTGTCATAGATATTGGGGTGTTTTCAGAGCTTCCAATTCCGCCCGCCGCTGTCATTGCTATTATTGCTGTTGTTGTCTGCCCCCCCCTTCCCCCCACACTCACTTTTGTTGTTTTCCCTCCCATATCCTTGTCGTGCCTCTATACTGTTCGTGTTGTTATTCTCGCCATGCGAATTTTCCAATGATGCTGTTCTCGTTGCTGCTTCTGTGTACACAAATTATTAGCCCTTCCCCTCATTCTCTTTCTATTTCTACAGCTTTAGATGTAGATGCTATGGGCACAGCATTAACTTCTTTACTGCTTTAATTTCTTGCTGCTGCTGCTGCTGCTGCTGCTGCTACTACTACTACTACTGTTTCTATTACTACAGCTCTACCTCCACCTCAACTACCTACAGTACCGCGGAAGTCCCCGCCTTTCTCCTTTCGCTACTGCTTCAACTTCCTCTGTGACCCAATAGATATACTACCACTCCCCTGCTTCTAGCTTATATAATACAATTACAGTATACTACTGCTGCTGCTGCTGTTGCTATTGTTGCTACTGCGAGTGTACTATGGAAGCATCTGGCATTGTAACTCCCGGATTAGCCATTGCTGGCACAACAACACGAAACGAATAAAACTAACATCAAAACGAATATCGACCCCATGTTGCTATTTTCTGTCTTTTCCGTTGATTTATATTATACTGATAACAAGTCCAGATATGTTAAGAGCTGGTAGACACGGAAATGTTGTCAACATTAATATAAAAGGTTCTCGTGCCAGAGAGTGGATAATAAAATTACGGGGACAAACATTGCTTTACAGAGGGTCAGATGAAGGACGTACAAGTTATGTGCATTATCACTAAGTCTTTACATATTATATCCGGCCAGTCTTGCACGACAGAGTACACAGAAAAACTAATGTGAACATACAAACGGCACACTTGAACATTGAGCTCACACATGTACACACACTGCACCCGGTTTATACCCATATTGGACACATACACCCACGTAGGTATACACAGACAAGCACACGCTCGCATTGGTGTCTTTCTTCGTCACTTATAAAAATGCAAAGTAAAACACGTTCACTCTTACAACCAAATACACGCATGCAGCTACACTGGCACACCAATGCGTGCGCGCGCGCACACACCCACCCAGCCACCCAGCCACCCAG